TTCCGGGTGGGCCAATGGGTCAGGGGTCAACGCCCTCTTGCGCAATCTTGGATGTTTTCGGCGTATAGTACGACTTCTTAACTTACAAATACCGTGGTATACTGTCTCAGACGTTCTCGACATGCATTTTTACCGTGGGTACATGGTATGGGCTGCAGATGAAAATGTTGACCAGTCCTGTATTAACACAACCAGGAACGCTAAATCTAACACATAAAATTCAACACCATCAACTATACAGAACAAACAACATGGAAAAATATACAATAAAAAGCCCGGAGGTATAAAATCTCAGATTTTACTTGTTAATGGCTTTTAATAGAGACCAGTATTCTGTTTTTTTTTTTTTTTGGAGGGGTATGTTAAATACTGTATCATCAAGTAAGGTCGCTAGCCACTCTTTTTGGTAATCTACAAGCAGATCCCTCTCGGTGGCAAAAAGACAGTATCAAATTGGCCAGGCAGTATCCATTAGCCAGAGAAGATCCGCGGCCACCGACAGGGTCAGGACAAAAAAAAACGGCCATATATAAAAATGTAACGATCATTCCCCCACAACCTCTGCTTGGAGAGTATCTTTTTGCACCGTCTCCTGCGTACGTTGTCGAAAACCCCATGCAGGCTCATATGTGACCAACCAAATCGTCAAAATTAATCTAATCAGCAGACATGACCAATGGAAAACGTGCATTTTTCTGACCAACGGAGAGGCTCCAACGTGTATTTTCTGACCAATGAGCATGCCAGGATTCTGCTCAATCGACCAATCGGAGGCTAGAATTCTTCGCACAGGTGGTTGGAAGTTATAAAGCCGGCGTGCGGGGACGGCTGCATGGCTGAGTTTAATCAGTCGATTTTCAACTGCTTCTACAGCTCGAAGGGCGCTCTTCTGTATCGACACGGCGGTCTGCAAGCCAAAATGTGGGGGAAATGGCGGTGCCAAAAACGTCCAGGGCATCACCACACCGACAAGAATTTACCTGAATTTCGGCGGCCTCAAACATAACGTTAACTTAATATTCCGGCGCGGCGAGAAGACCCGCAATGTAAAGGTGAGACTGTCGACAATGCATTGTAGTTCACGGAATCGGTTGTATGTAAACGTGACCATCAGCGGACAGTCAAGTGTTTCATAGCGTTTTCCTTTCTACTTCTGAACCACGTGCACGGAAATCTCCCCGTAAGTTAATAGGACATGTTGACTCCAATGGCAGTACGTTTGAAGGTTAAGCTACATAGTTCGTTCATTACCTAATAGTGATACAATATGTTTCTCTTTGCAACTTAGGGAATGGAGGTGCTAAACCTCCACACCCCAGGGCATCACTACACCGAGAAGAATTTGAGGGCTGCTCAAACCTAGCTAACGTTGATTTTATGACGAGGAGACCCACAGTATAAAGGTGAGAGTTACCGTTAAATGTCTTTGGTTTCGGAGCGTTTTGCTTTCTACTTCTGAACCACGTGCAAGAAAAAATTCCACGAAATATGTAATCGTTTGTCGTTCTATGACCTGATACATTCTCTCTCCTTGCAACATAGGACTACACGTGAATACGTCCTAACTAGAAAAGACACGCAAAGAGAAGGTCGGCCTGTGCCAGAAATATGACAAGGTAAAGGTAATTGTACTGTTAATATGACAAGTATTCTGCTCAGCAGTAGCTGTATCCTGTGACGATAGAATTCATTACGAAAAATTTGTCTGTAATTGACGGTTCCACTATTAAAACACCAAGGCATAAGGCATTGTTGATTGCGTGCCTATTTAGTGTTTTAATCACAAGCAAAATGTTCAACTGAATCTGTCTTGTTCTAATTATTTGTAATTTGACATTCATGTCGGATTAATAGGATGCAAGAAGCAGGGAAGGAGACATCTCTCAGCATCATCCAGGACCTTATTGTTGCCAAAAACTACACCTCTCACGGGAAAGGGCTTTAAGGGATGAAAAAAGGTTTGTGATGTGCATTAAGTAGCTTTTGGTACCAAACTTAGAATTCCCTCTGTGTATCTGAGACATTTTCGACAGGGATAATCAAGTTTCTTGGTTGTTGGCAAGGTGTTTGAGTTTGATTTGGTGACATCCTGAGTGACATTGCTGGTTGGGGGTTGGGCCATTTTGAGGGTTTTGGCTCCTTTTGCACGCATGGCTTTAGTCTTTCTGTGGGATACAGGTCCGATGTATGGTTGATTTGGTTTCTGTGACCATGTCGGTGGCTGGGATTGTGTTTGGAGTTGCTGCAAAGTTCAGTCCTCTAGAAAACGGAGACTTCCTTAAGTTCTGTTAGCCCATGATTATTTACTAATAGGTATCTTGTACTGCCTGACTTTCTTTCTGCATTATGTGATTGTCAGTGGGTCGGGAACCCTGACCATTACATGAGCTGCCTTGTGAGTGGGGGGAAGGGGGTGAGAGGGGTGAGAGGAGTGAGTGGGGGAGGGGGTAAGTGGGGGGAGGAGGGTGAGTGGGGGAGGGGGGTGATGGTGTATGTATGACATGTATCCGTTAGTCTTGAGATCCCGAACAAAGACTACGGCACAGGGCCAGAAGGGAGGACAGGTAGAGAAGTGCGTAAGTGATCATGGGCTAACAGAACTGAGGAAGTCACTGTTTTCTGGAGGACTAAACTTTGTAGTTACCTCTGAGCGCAATTCCGGTCTTCAGCGTGGGTACAGAAGCTGATCAGGCCAAGCATTGGACCTGGTTGCCACAGGAACGGGTTGAAGCACTGTGTGCAGAAGTAACCATTGCTCTCAAGTGTCCCAATCCCTTGCCAGTGCCGTCACAAGGGCTGTTGCCAACATTCTCGATGCCTTGCTGATAACCAAGTGATTGTGATTCTCCCTGCTGGTGATGCCTCGGGTAGACAGAGGGGATTGTTACCTAAGCTTGGACTGAAGTTGCATCACAGATTAGTAACGTCCTGCCATCGCCCCACCAGCAGCATGTCTCTGGATGAAAAAAAGTCAAGTCTGAAGAGCTTTAACAAGAACTTCATTTACAAAGAATGCAATGTATCATTTTACAATCATTATGTCTGATAGACAAGTGTTGCTCAGGTTGTATGTTCATGTTATATGTTCATGTTATTAAGTCTTCCTGGGTGAAGCTGAATTTGTCATGGTGCTAGGGCCATGTAGTTTTATAGAAATATTATAGTTTCCTGCTATTTAGCTACATTCCTCATACTTACCAGCTGTGAGATGTCCAAGGCATGTTTCTTTTAATTCTTGCATAATGCAGTCACAAATTGAAATGTCCCTTGGAATACTAGTAGCCAAGATTTCCTAACTTGTAAATGTTCTTTTTTTTATTTCCTAATTTGTAAATGTTCTTCTTTTGGATTTCCTAATTTGTAAAATTTTATGTTCTTTTTTTGGATTATGTTGTAATTGTCTTAAGTTTAAAGATAAGCTTTTAAGATAAGTGCAGTTTATGCCAAACAAGTTACTCAAGCAACTGGATATGATTTTGGAAACGGTCAGATGTTTCAGGTAGCATCCACTTGCACTACTTTCGTCAGTGACACTGAGACTGCAGGAGAAATGCATATTTATCTTTTTTTGGCATATCTTATTACCTAAATGTCTAACCTTCACCAACATAAGCGCAGTTTAGTTTAAGAATAGTTGTAGTCTAGTGTTAAGGTTAGTTGTAGTCTAGTGTTAAGAATAGTTGTAGCTTAGTGTTAAGGTTAGTTGTAGTCTAAAGTAAAAGTCTTTTGTTCCCACTTAGCCTTTATTTTTGTGTATTTTGCCTCTATTCTAGTACAAGTAGTGGCCACCTTGTCCTAGAATGGATCCAAAATATATGAATACATGGGCTTTGAGAGCAAAGGTCTTTACATAAAGCAGGGTAGTTATAATCAGGTTAGGTTTAAGGTCTAGGGCATTGTAGTGAGTTTTTGAAACTTAGCTTTCAAAATGTCAGACTCAACCTGAGCAACACACTGTACACTTAATAAACAGTCATGTGGTCTCTTTTCTTGTTTTTGTTTTAGAAGGATAAAATAAAATAAAATAGAATTGTTATTGAAGTCCCATCCTTGGTCCCGTGTAGTATTCATGTCCCCATGTAGTGCTCACCACCACCCACCCCCATGCAGTAGTTCCCGAAACACCCATTAATTTGTCGGTATTAAGTGTTCTAATAAACCCCATGTAGGCCTTTGATGTCACTGGACCTCATTAAAGCGTCACCTAATAGAGAGTGAAGGCACTTCAACCAAGTAGGTACACACGGGAATGATCGAAGGAAAGAAACTCCACACATGGACTACTATATAAAAAAAAAATTCCAATAGTTTACTTGTCTTCTTGGCAGACAAACACAACAATGTCAAGGACATAAATTCATATTTCTTTTTAGTTTGTTTTATTTCATAGATTTGGCTGCCTGACATACAGCCAGCTGCCCAACTAGCCAGTAACTATTACCAGGCTAGCCCTGCTGACAAAGACAATAACCAAAATATGGTTAAGACGACTATGCTTACACTATGATCTATCAAATATATATCGTTCTTATTTAATTCAAAGCACATTGGTATTTACTCTTCCATGACAGACTACAGTACATCATTTTAGTTCTGCCACCTAATTTCCATGGAATGAGTAACAGTTACTAAGAACTTTAACTTCATATGTGAAGTACATAGTTACACATTACGTCTTTACTGTTACATTACTAGACTAACAGGAGCTTTGCTTAAGTACCAGTTGTGGTACAATCTAAACTAGTATGGTATACACCAGTCGCAACAGTTACCGTTGGCACATTTAAATAATATTTGGAAACAAGAAAATAACACAAGCTTTGATCAGACCTACAGCCAATGCACCCTACGCGAGCTAGTCAGATGTTAAACTACTGGTGTGCTTGGAAATTTAGACGCAACAGAATATATTACAGCAAATCAAGATTAGTGAATCAGCCAATAAGAAAGTGTCTGCACCTCAGCTAAATTTCTAATTCTTTTATTTCCACATTAGACTTAGGTGGGCAGGGCTATGGGATCTCTCTATTGAAGGTAAGGAAGGTGAAGGTAAAGCAGTCATCCTCAACTGAGGCGATGTTTTTCAAGAAGCTAGACTTTGGTAGTAGGAATAGGGCAATGTGGCATGGGTTTGCTATGGCTCACATAATGCTACAGCCACTTCACTGTAGTTTTTGTAAGACAAGGTAAGGAGTAAGAAACACCTACTTGAGTCTGAATTCAATCAATGATGCTGTTAGCAGGTGGCTACCTCCCACCCTAATCTATGTTTTCCCATTGAAACATGTTCTATTGGGCATCTACTAGTATTTCAAACAGCAAAATCCCCTCTCAAAAACCCCCACACAGAGTCCCGAAGCCAGCCTGGAATAGAGTCGAGGTGTCGGCTGATGGCAACAGCAGTAAAGTACCCCCCTCCCACAGCAGCCAGGGCCATCAGGGCCTGGATAGAGTTGTCTACCAGCTGGGGAAAATTAGAGTAAGAGCAAAGTTAAATTCACATAAAATGTATGCTTGAATGGTTTGAAAACATAGCAAATATATAAAGGTCCAACACATGTTTGCTGGTGCAAAGATGAGAACTTTTGCTACCCATAAAACTCACCACATCCTGTTTCTTTGCCTTGTTGATGACAACATGGTACCTGATTCTGGTGAAAGAAACCTGGAGGAGGGGCAGAAAACACCAACATCAAAGTTAACAACTGTGGAAGAAGCCCTATATGTAACTGCAGTAAATTCTATATGCTCTACCTTGTACAATTGTTGTGCAATCAAGTTCCTGTTAAACACCCACCATGGTGTAGAGGGGGATGAAGACCCTGGGCATGATGGCATGCAGGAAGGCGTCCACCTTCTTCCTCATCAAAAACCACCTGGAGTTCACCGACTTCCTCATCTGGAACAGACGTGGCACCTTCAGCTCTGGGGCTTATAATGTTTATTACTCCTCCAAAATGGTAAGCCGTAGCAACATAACCTTCTACCATAGGTTTTCTTATTCATTCTAAAGTCTTAGAAATTGAGCTCACTAGCTGGTACTTCAAAACAAACCAAAGAACAAAAGAAGCATCTGACCTCGATGTAGTTGTACATGGCCAGGTCGTTGATGGCGTGAGCGTCAGGTGATCGGTACATGGAGTACTCTGGGAGGACTTTGCCTGCAGGAATATTCAGTTCACAGTAGTTTTTTTTTTCAAATGAAAGTACCAATAAAATCAGTTTGTGTTGCCTTAAATATTAATGATGTGTTAGTTGTCAAGTGAGAATTCAACAAGAAATGTTGACTTACTCAAATCACTGTCAAGTTTCTCCATTATCTCATCAAACACCAGACAGTCCTCAAATCCCTGAAAAGATACAAGAATCAAGGAAATTATAAACCTGAAGAATATATGTTCATAGAGCTGCAATGAGCAAATTATCTTGAATGAATGAATGAATGTGAGTTCATGCCTGTGATGTAGATGTGTTCTGATAGAGGGCAGTTTTACTTACACAGTTCATCCCCTGCCCATAGAAGGGCACCATGGCGTGGGCGGCATCTCCCATGATAACTGCCTTGTCGGATACATGATATGGGAAGCACTGTGGGGAGGGAACAATTAGGATTTAGTTCAAAAACACCAGAGGCAGGGTTACAGGACTTTGTATGCGACTTTAAGATTCTACTGTAATATTCATTTCTCATAACTTACATCATATGTACAAAACTCCAAACACAAACCTTGACAGAAACCAGTGGCAGAGGAGGCAGTCTGAAGTAGGTTTCCTTAAGGCTTTCCCTGGGAATAGGACAGAACAGTATCAAAGATTGTACCTAGAAAAACATTCACAAATATCACTATTGTAAATCGGTTGTGGTTGTCAAGTAGGGCATTGATGTCTCATGGAGACTGCATGAAAGCAGTTGCTTCTTATTTATGTAAAATTGGACTGGAGTGTTTTAGAAGTGTGGCTTATGACTGGCCAGGTTTGATCTCATGATTTTTTGCGCCGGTGCAGAGTGATTTACTTACTCTCCGATCAGCGGGACGGAATCCGGGAATTTCTCCATGAAGAACTTGACGACATCATCTCCTGTCTTCAGCTGCTCGAACATGTCAAAGGGCATGAACAGGGTCAGGGTGAAGGACTTGTCCTGGGGAGAGAAACAGATATTGTTCATCTCAATTCAACCAAATTTACAAACGGGTGGCCAATGAGGGGATAAACTGAGAACAGTTATAATATATAATAATTAATAAGTAAAACTCTGCAAATTGTACCTGATTTGGTAGAGCAATCATCATATACTCATTCCGAGGCCAGATGTGGAGATAGTTGATGGCCATTGCAAACTGGAACAGAGATCATAGTTGGGTCAGGAATATGCCAGTGTGAAGAAGAAAATACAGTCCTTGACAACCCGTAACATCCCATTTTGAGTTGCTGCAGTCCCCGACAACCCTTACCTCCCCGTTGTAAGGTGGTACAGTCCATGAGAACCCTTACCTCCCCGTTGTGAGGTGGTGCAGACCATGACAACCCTTACCTCCCCGTTCTGAGGTGGTACAGTCCATGACAACACTTACCTCCCCATTGTGAGGTGGTACAGTCAGCTCCATGTACCCATGTGGGATGTACTCCTGGCTGTAGTTAAACCTGGGTCTCTTCACCATGTGTTTCCTGATGGCAGAGTACGCCCCATCGTTTCCCATGATCAGGTCTGTCGTCACCTCCACATGTACATCCTCTCCACCGTTCCTGTAGAATAGATGACCAGCCTCAGTGCTTGTCACACAAATGCATGATCACTACAAATAGTGTATTGTATTCAACATGATATGATGTAAAACACAATATGATGTAAAACACAATACTGGAATATTCAGTGACAAAAGGATCTACCAAATTTTTGTACATCTATAAATTTTACATATGCATCGACTGTAGCACGTTTCTCCTGAAAATATCCCTCTTTAGGGAGAGCATATCATCTAGCTTAAGGCATGCCAAACATTTGTAAAGAAGAGCAGCAGTACTTCAAAACAAAGGCAACAGGTGTAGGCTGAGCAATCGCTGTAAAGCAAAACAAAACAAAACAAAACAAAACAAAACAAAACAAAACAAAACAAAACAAAACAAAACAAAACAAAACAAAACAAGCCAGCTGAAAAAGAAGATTCTTGAAGTTGTTTCACTTCACATCACATCACATCACTACACACAGGGGTACTTGTACCTCTGGTAAGTCTGGTCAAGACTGTCATCACCGTTAGCAGGTTCTCTACAGAACAGAGCAGTTACAAGTTAGGCTAAAAATTACACCCAGTAACATCCTATAAACCATTGGGGGGTATATTATAGTTAGTATTTCTCCCAAACAGTACTTCACAAGCCCCAAGCTGAATGCTTGATCAAGTTGATGTACAGCAATTTCCTGTCATAACAAAACATTCAACAACATCTTCAGCACCAACACATGCATAGGAACTTTTGAGTACATGTCTTGAACATGCACAACACTACAAAATCATTGATTTTGAAAGAACTCACATTTTGAAAGTCAACTTCCCTTTTTCAAGGTCACAGCTGACCAGCTTGTGTTGAAAATGCAGAGTGACATCAGGCCTTTCCTCTGCAGCTGTACAAGGAGTGACATAGGATAAGGCAGGGACGAAGAGGATGACAAGTGTTGCAATCAGCTTTCCCTATCAAAGTGTGTCAATTACATTTGTCCCTTACTTTTAATGTAGCAGCCAAAATGCACATACAAAACTGTTTATTGACTATTGTTAATTCTAAAGGGTGTACAGAACCAACAAAGGAAAAGGGTGTACAGTTGTTTACGGAGATGACAATAGGCATAAGCTGAGCCGAATCAGCTGATGTTGCAATGATACCTCCCAGTCTTTGATACCTGTACTACATGTACTACATGTAGTATGTATCAACCATGTAATCAGAGAGGAACAAACATTGTTACCTGTTAAAAGTGTTTCATTCAGCTTCCTCCTGTCCACAGACATGATGTACTGAAAAACAAAGCATTTGACAGAACATGTTGGTGAGATGAATTGCCTTGAAACCAGTTCAGTTGCAGCCACATTTTCAAAGCTCAGTGGTAATCAGATAAGAGAAATATGTGATGTGATCCAATTCCTGCTGCTCACCTGATCAGACTTGCCGTACGGTATGGGTCTCAGGGTCCCATTCAGGTCATGGATCATCCTGGCATACATGGGGATGCCGTCCTGAACAACCTGGTTAGAAAACAATAATGAGGCCTGAACACTTCATTGAACACATGAAGAACAGATTCTCTCAGATATTCAAATTCAGTTCTAATTATGTTAAGCATGTGAATTTCAAACACACGTATACAAATGATATATTGACCATTTTCTCATTTCATTGATTTTTGACAAGTGCTTATAGCTATACGCTAGAATATCTCTAATAACCTGATCTTCCAGCCCAACTTTCTTCAGGGCCTGCCTTCCTCTGTAGGACAGTGCCAAGTTGATGCTACGGCCTCGTACAATCTCCATAGTACGAATATCTGAAATGCAGTTATGAACATCTTTGAAATGTCTGCTTGATATGCAAAATTGAAGATTGGAATTGATGGAAGCTACCTCCTGAGCCCAGGTGTATCTGTGACATTGTGACATATTCCTACCTGGTCTGGCCTCGTACAGATCCACCTTGAAGCCTCGGCTGGACAGGTAGCAGGTATTCATGGCCCCAACCTAAGGGCAGTTTCATATTCATAAAATCAATCATTAATCCAGTCCCAACACAATTGGTATGTGATACAAAATTTATATTCTCTTCTTTGTACTCTGCATATATAAAGGTGTCAGGTTACAGAATTTGAAGGAAGCACTATTTTCTCACCAGACCACCTCCCACCACGGCGGCACTCTTCTGTTTCTGTTTCTCCATATCTGTAGTGTAGTGTGGCGTAGGTCTCTGCAGCTGATCAGTTTATCCAGTCCGGACGTCGTTCTCTGTGGGTTGCTTCCTATCTGCTTACACAACACAGTAGGGCGTACCGTTAGGTAACATGGTAACATTGGGAGGCTGGCGCTCTCCGACCTGGATGACAAGTCTCTGTACAATAAAACAACTCTGATAACTGGTCAATGGAATTCTTCTGCGTCAAGCCTTACTTACAATGCGATTTAACTGTATGTGTTTGGAGAGTGATAAAAGATTCAGAGCAAAACAAAGATACCTGGACCAAAGAAAATCGCACTTGCACATGTGGACATGTGCACTGTTACGTATACCTAGGTAGTCTCCTTCAGTACACTTGTTCTGGCTAGATTTTACATCATCAAATGGTTTGGTGAACACGGTTTACCTTAATTTTACTCTTTCCTATCTTGCAGTTTGCAGGTAATTCCCGTGGAAAGTTATGCCAGCGATGTTGATCGTTGTACTTCTACTTCACTTGTTCACCTATAACCCTTGACCCGAGGTCATACCCATCAGGCATCGCGGGAAACATGGAAGGGATCGGGACAGAAATCACTCACAAAATCCGGGTAAATATGCTCAAATTGTGCCTTTTGGCAATGGTTTATCGCAAGCCTGTTTGAGTAGGATGATTAAATATAGATTTCAGATTATAACTATAGCGCTTGTTATTTTAGAGTAATTTGTAGCGCACAAAAACGTGACGCTTTAACTGGGCTAGCTGTTCACCCTTGCTACCCAAGCCGGTTTTCTACGAACCCTAATAAATTATTTTTCTCGAGAATTATGAAATAAAGAATTTGTTCACATCTTCTAGTACTTCACTTATGGTGCCTATGTGATCTGGTATACTGTGTGGTACCTTTAAAGGCTCTAAAGTCAAGTCTTTTCCTCTTGTTTTATTTCTTCAGAGTGCTATAAAAGCAAAGCTTGTGGACCTGGGAGCTTACGTAGGTGAGTCGTCTTTTTTCACTCCCACATACTAGTATACAGAGGGAGGTCAAGGGAAATATGTTGATTATTTTCTTCCGTGTTTCTTGTGTGAAATCTTGATGGATCTGTTGTGTTTCTCTGATATAGTACCAGCAACTTATGATAGCAGTCTCTTTCTAAGTTAAATCTCATTCTGTATCTGCATTCTTCAATTCAGTCAGTATAAGCCAGCCTTCGGTGTAACATGTCAGCTTCGTTATATTGCATCTAATGACCTGTTAATGTTACACATAACTCCTTGATATGAATAACCACAAGCATGGTTGAACCATATCCAGTGAGGATAACACGACAATGAAATCCATGTTCTATGATATAGTACCAATGAATTACTGTTCTATGATATAGTACCAATGAATTACTGTAAGTCCAGTTATGTTCAAGGATGCTTTATTTCGCGAGATGGAGCAATTTGGGACTTCACGAGGTCTCTGACTTCGCGAGTCGGTATTTTTTTACAAGGCGTTACATGTCTCTGTCTGCAAATTTACTGACAGTCGGCACGACAATATGCACCTACAAACTGTTCTGCATTCCATCCCCAGACGATGAGCTGCCAGACTACATCATGGTAATGGTGGCCAACAAGAAGAGCCAGGCCCAGATGACAGAGGACCTCTCCCTGTTCCTGGCCAACAACACAGAGAAGTTTACTGCCTGGTCAGAGGAGAATATTTCTACCTCACTATGCACTGCTGTAGATTTATTTACTAGCAAGAAGGGTCAGCCTTTCATGCACTGAGTAGTAGTGTGACTGTCAATTCTCCATTGATTTTTAACATACACAGTAACATACACAGAAGAAATAGCATGTCACTATATCTGTTTCTCCTCCCACAGGCTCCACGGAGTCCTGAGCAAGCTGCAGAATGCAACAGAAGGAGAAGTGAACACAGTGTTCCAGCAGGGTAATAACCTTAATACACATTTTTTATCTTCCCATTTTGTAGGATGGTGAAGGCCCTTGTGAGGTAGAATATCATGTCTACATACTAACATAGATTCTGTTACTGTCAGGCTTTTAGCTAGGGGGTGTCCAGGGTGTCTTTTGGACGCCCTGTACTGAAAATACTAAGAAACTGGACGCCCTACTTTTTGGTAGGACACCCTAAAGACGCCCTGTTTTTTTTCCACTCCCAACCCTGCCTTGCACACATGCCTCCCTTCAGCCTTACTATAAATACAAAAATGATGGTTTACTGAAGGAAAAAAACTCAAATTCCTCAAAATTTGTACCTCAAAATGCAAAAAGTAGTGTTTGAGAGCATTTTGACTTTCAAAAAAGGCCCCCTAAAAAGCTTGTGCACCGTGCATCTTTGCTGAGCATAGCATGCAATGCAAAAAATGGACGCCCAACAAAAAAATCCTAGCTAAAAGCCTGGTTACTGTTATTCACATACAGAGTCAGAAGCTGTGAGCAGGAGTGCCTCAGCCAAGGCCATGGCAACCATCACCAGTCAGAAGTCGTCTGTGGCAGCAGCTGTAGCCAGTGTGTCCACACCTGTTTCCACCCAGCATCTGGCAGCCCCCCCTCCTGCAGCCCCCGCCCAGGCCCCTGCTCTGATCCCCCCTCCTGCCGTCCCCCCTCCAGAACCCATCATCTCCATCAAGCCTGACGACTCGGACATGATGGAGGAGCTGGAAACTGAGGTACTGGAAATTAGGAAATTTTCACGGTGGTTTTATGTTCATGAATTTGCATCAAAATGGTTCTTTATAGTACTTTAGTATCATTCAAAATAGATTTTATAATCTTTTCATGGGTACAATGTAGGTCTTGACTTTTTTAGACTAATTTTAGCAGGTCCAAAGCATCTCCATCTTCGTTTTCAGGAGCCTGCTGCCACCCCTGCTGTGTTGGTACAGTCCAGACACTCTGTTGCAGCCCCTGTACAGTACCAGGCTGTTACCACCTCCCCTCCCAAACACAGACCTTCAGCTGTGGCCAGGCCTGCTACTAAACAGTCATCTGTACAGTATCTACCACAGGTAACTGTTTGTTATATGTCTGATGATGATAAGTTATAAAAAAACTTTGCACATACCTTTGTACACAGCATTTGTTATTTTGGATGTGATGCTGTCTAGAATGTTTATTACATAAATCATTCATCTCCTAGACTCCTATTGAGTTTGCTGATTAATAATCCTTTAGGTATGGCTCTTCATTAACATAGCTATATTGTCAAGTCCCCAGTGAAGCCCCGGCTGTCAGCAGTGTCCAGTCGCAGTGGCCATCATGGCAGGGAGGTGTCCAGTCAGCATGTGTCACAGGTAGGAACCAACAGCTTGTATCATCACTGTACTAATTCATTCACACATGCAATGATACTTTGCAAGTCTGTCACATTTCTACCTCCAAATGATCTTGTTTGTACCTAATATACCATATCATGGGTATACTTGATTAAAATCCAATGTCATATGGCCCAGACCTCTTCTGTTTTTACACCCTGCTGTCTCATCTTTCAGCACTTTCCTTTCTCACTCCCTTGTGTATACATTGTATCAGTGATAGCTACTTACTTTCTTAGCCTGACTGAACCTCGCTTTTCGCCGGCTCCCTAGTATGTAGGGAGCTGCCCGGGGCTTGGGTTTCACAGGCTACTTACTTTCTTATTTACTTTGGATTAGGTGCACCCTGTTGCGAGGAAGCGTAAGACTCCGTCCTCCGTGGTAGGTTCTGTGATCCTGTCGGCTGCTCCTGAGTATGAGTCGGAGGAGGATGAACCCCTGAGGAAGGGCGTGGCCAGTACCGTCAAGGTCCCGGAGAGGAGACCCAGCCTGCCTCCCTCCAAACAGGCCAACCGCTCCCTGCTGCTGAGGGCCATCTCTGAGGCTAACCAGTCTGCTGGGAAGGCCAAGGGCAGACAGGAGCACGCACAGGAGGTCATGGTGCAGCCCATGCAGGTATTACATGTCATCATGGGTCAGTGATATTCCCAAAAGACCCCCACTTACCCAAGTGTTAATCAGTTTTTCCAGAATTTTGTACAATAAGATATTACCAATACCAGTAAAGAATATTTTCGAAAGTTGGTGCATCCTTAGTTGAAGTGTGTGAGTTGACCATGTTGTTGTTGTCCCTGCCAGTATGACCCCATGGTGGGGTCAGCTGCAGGTATGGAGTACCATCCAACCAGCTACAGGCCGACAGTGAGGGTCGAAGGTCACCAGATGGGAGGTTACAGAAGTTTCCGTAACATTGTCTCCAGGACGATCCTACCCAGCCCAGTCCAGGAGGAGGGTAGGTGTTGTAGTGGTGCTGTGCAGTGTCTCTGCAGTTTATGGTTTGATGTGGTAGAATAGACAAATGAACACCAACATCAACTTATGTCCAATTGTTTACTGTATATTTACTTCTTACTTTAGTTGTTTACCTGTATAACTTCCTCTCCCATGCACAGACTACCAGGAGCATGACATGGCTTCCCCGCCTGGTGACCGGAGGAACGTCGTGTCAAAGGAAGAAGAGGACGACGAAGGAATCGGGCCTGATGACGAGCGCTCGGTCGCGATCGCGTGGCACACAGCGGGCCGACAGACTACCGCCACCGCCAGCCGTGTTCCTGTGGTCAGCAGGGTTGCCATGGAGACCAGGAGGGTCATCCAGGACAGGTGGGTGGGGTCATTGACAAGGGGTGACAAACCTGAGAATGGGTGGGGTTGTTGACCTTAAGGAGGCAGACATGTCCTTTTGTTTCCTAAGATTTGCTCATGTTCTCTCAGTGCATCTTTGCCATGCATTTCTTTTGCATCTGTTTACTTGCTTTATACTTTTTCCATTGTTTTGACATACAACATTGCAGGAATGTCCATGAAGGCATCCAAGCAGAATGCCACGCCATACAAAATAGATCAAGTAACTCACTGGATAAATTCTCTGAAGAGTCAGACATTTCAGATATCATCCTCTATTTTTCATCTCATTCTCAGTGACTGATGAAAGATAGTCGATTCCAACTGAAACAACTGACTCGTCAGAGAATTTATCTAGTTGCAGCTTGAATTTTGGAGTCACTCATGCTTTGCTAGACAGTTATTCAGTTTTCCCTATATTCCATTCCAATTTAGGGCTCAATTCAAGCAGTCCTGTAATGTCGGATGTGTTTTAGTCTTATTACTCGAACAGTTCAGGTCTCCTGATCCCGAGGTCTGTGTGTTGTTTTGCTAGGACTCCGCCCAAGACAGTCCCTGTCAGCCCAATCTTCACTGTCACCTTGGACGGAGAGCCTTCCTCCCTACAGACACTGTGAATAATTTTCCTGTCTTCCTCTCTCACTTTTGTTGTAAAAGTTTCACACCTTTCAAAGCCTGATGCTGACTGACAGGGCATTAGGCCATGTTGATTTGATTATATGGATGACATCCGCGCGCGCATGAATTTTCGGCCGTTTCCAAAAAAAAAAAGTTTTCAACCATACTGTAAATCGTACAAAACAGTTGCAAAATGAGCAAAAATATACCGTAAGTTACAAAAAAAAATTAATAAAAACTATACCAATGTCGTAGAATGCCAAAATCAAACGAAAAAAGACGAAATTGTAAAGAAATGAACTTGAAGACTAGATTATTCGCCAAACCATATTCTGTGTCATTTGTTCAACCCTCATGACCACGTAGATTTCATAATGAAAACAACTTTTTTTTTTTTTGCAAAACTTTTTTTTTATTCGCACGCGCGCATCAGT